AGAGGCCTGGGATCAAGCCCCAAGTCCAGCTGTGTACTCAGAGCTCAGTCACCTTGGGAAGTCTCTCTCTCCCTCTGCCCCTTCCCTCCCCTTGTGCTCTCTCTTTCTCTCAGATAAATAAATAATCCTAACAACCACCAAAAAAAGGGTTCCAAAATCTATAAAGGACTTATCAAACTCAACATCCAAAAAGCAAATAGTCCACTTAAGAAATGGGCAGAAGACACGAAGAGACAGTTTTCCAAAGAAGACATCCTAAGAAGACAGACACATGAAAAGATGCTCAACATCACCCATCACCGGAGAAAGATATCAAAACCACGATGAGATATCACCTAACACCTGTCAGAAACCCCATAATCGAATTAAACATACAAGAAACAACATCCCTCTTGTACTGTTGCTGGCAATGCAAACTGGTGCAGCCATGCTGGAAAACAGTATGGGGTTCCTCAAAAAGTTAAAAATAGAGCTACCCTAGGATCCACCAATTGCACTACTGGCTAACTATTTACCCAAAGGATACAAAAATAAACAGATTCAAACATTCTGATGTTTATAGTGTTGGGCTGGCGAGACTGGGGACGTCACAACAGCCCACCCGAGGCCAGCAACCTCCCAATAAAGGCGCCTTGCCGCCCCACCCCCATCTGCCTGCCAAAGCTGCCTTGCTGCCCTACACTATCTTAGCTTACAAAACCAAGATCCCCCACCCCCACCCCACCCCCGCCACCCACCACCCTGTAACCCTTGCCCCAACCCGAATGCCGCCCTGGCCCCAGCTTCCGCCAAAAACTCTTTATAAACACCCCTGCAGTTTGCCTGGGCGTGGCTTCAGGGAACCACACCAGGGAGCGCTCCCATTAAAGCACTCTCAAACCTACCACCTGGTTCTGCGGTCTTTAATTGTCCCTGCCGATCATTAAAGAAAACCTGACATATATCAGCATTATCAACAACAGCCAAACTATGAAGAGAGTCCAAATGTCCATTGAGTAGTGAATGGATAAAGAAGATGCGGTGTATATACACAACGGAATGCTACTTAGCCATCAAAATGAATGGACTCTTGCCATTTGCAATGACATGGATAGAGGTACACTATACTCAACCTAAGCAAAGTAAGAGAAAAACAAATACCGTATGATCTCATTCATATTACGAACTGAAGAAAGCAGATGAACATACGGGAAGAGGGAAAAAGGGAGATAGGGAAACAAACCATAAGACTCTTAAGGATAGAGAATACACTGAGGGTTGAATGGAGGCAGCTGATTGCGGGAGGGGCTAGATAGGGGATGAGTATCAAGGAGGGCACTTGTTGTGATGAGCACCAGGTGTCTTATATATGTGATGAATCACTGAATTCTACTCCTGAAACCGATACTGCACTGCATGTTCACTACCTAGAATTTAAATAAAATATTGGAAAAGAAAAAAAAGAAAGCCTTAAAGTGTTCAAGGATGTCCTTCACGCAGAAGGGAAAATGACAGGAGATCTAAATCTGGGCAGACATAAAACATAAAGAAACCAAGCGCACCAGAAATGGCAACGATGTTATTTGAGTATTCCTTAAAAAATAATGCTTTACCCAAAACTCACAACGTCCAGGGGATTGATTCTACCTGTGAAAGTAATATCCGGGAAGCCTGGGTGGCTCAGCGTGTAGACCCGCCGTCAGTCCAGGGCCTTATCCTGGAGACCCAGGATCCACTCCCGAGTCGGGCTCCCTGCATGGGGCCTGCTTCACCCTCTGCCTGTGTCTCTGCCTTTCTCCATATCTCTCTCTCTCTCTCTCTCTCTCTCTCTCTCTCTCTGTGTGTGTGTGTGTATGTCTTTCATGAAAAAATCAATAGTAAGTCTTAAAAAAAGAAAAAAAAAGTAATATGCAACAACAAATAAGGACCAAGAGGGGAGAAATGGAAATAACCACAGGCTCCCTACAGTTGAAGTGAAACAGTACATTACCTGAAGATGAACTGTAAAATATTAAAGGTGCATAACAGAAACCCCAAAACAATAAAAACATAACAGTGTTAGAGCTAAAGACCCCGCAAAAGATGTAAAACAGAATCACAAAAAATACACAATCCATTGAAAGGAAAGAAGTTCACAAAAGAAGAAAAAAGAAACAAAGCCAATGGTACAAAGAGAAACAAAACAGATCTACAAACCTTACTGGTTATATCAATAGTCAGATTACACGTAAGGTGGTCTAAGCAACCAATTAATAAGCAGAGACTGTCAGACTACGATTTAAAAAACAGCGAGAGGGATCCCTGGCTGGCGCAGCGGTTTGGGCCTGCCTTTGGCCCAGGGCGCGATCCTGGAGACCCGGGATCGAATCCCACGTCGGGATCCCGGTGCATGGAGCCTGCTTCTCCCTCTGCCTGTGTCTCTGCCTCTCTCGCTCTCTCTCACTGTGTGCCTATCATAGATAAATAAAATTAAAAAAAAAATTTAAAAACAGCGAGATCCAACTATCTGCACTTGAAGTTAAAGATGGAACAGGTTGAAAGTAAAAGGGTGAAATCAGATGCCAACACGTCTCAAAGAAAGCCAGACTGGCTACATGAGACTGTTATAATGATTCTCCACTTCCGGAATTCAATCCATCCATCAATATCCTTGATCTTAGCAGGTACAATCTGAAAACGGACATGACAGATGACATCCACTCTCAAATGATTCAGGTAAGAAATATACATACACACACACACACACACAAACACACAGAGAGAGCTAATAAAGAAATGTGGGGAGAGGTAAAAACTGGAGTATCTGGCAAAGGGAACATGGGAGTTCTCTAAGATCCTTGCGACTGTTGTGTACGTTTGAAGGTTTTTCAAAATAAAATGTTGAATAAAAATGAATGCTATCAAATACATAGAGGATTTTGCAAAAGGACTCAGAAACCCATCTGTAGGGATTCCTCTGGTCAAACACAGAACCACTTAGACATCAAAGAGAGAAACGACTTCAATGTACTGAAATACTTAAAATATGTGTAAACCCATGAGCTCACAATGGTAACAAAATGAATCAAAAAAAAAAAAAAAACCCAGTTGCTTAGGAGCCTACTGGATATTGTGAAAATAATCTTGTCTGTAAGAAACACAGAACTATTTAAAGGATGTTGTTCTTTAGGAAAGTATTCTAGCTGGGAGACAAAGAAACGGTAAAGTAACATAGCACCATCTTGTCTCCCCTAAAGAACTGGGGGATCTTGGCAATGAACATCAACCAATGGATGCTAACGTCACAAAAACAAAGGAAGATGATACGGCCTCCAGGGGAAAGCGGACAAGAGTCATGGGCAGCAAAGGCTTGCAAAAGAACTGAACAGAACTGGGTCAATGTCCGGAGCTAACTACCAATTAGATAAGGCATATGGGTAATGATAAAAGTCTTCAAGTTAGAATGACAGCAATGTGGTCCACACAATCCAGACTACGGGAAACACAGGATAAGCCCAATTTCTTCAAAACATAGACTACAAAGCAGTAACGTAAGAGACATACAAGGAAACCATCAGTAAATGATTTAAAAGACTTAGCCACCTGGAGAGAGTGGTCTCTGTGTATCCTGATTGAAAAGAACCACCTCAAACACATCCAGAAGATGGCGAAACGTTGAACACCAGATACCACACACTGAGAAAAAAAAGGTATTGCGGGTTACCCTCACTACTTTTTCAAACACCCCTGATCAGTTAAAGAGCAAAAATATCTGCAGGTGAACTTTTTTAAAAGCCAAGTAAAGGGAGACTCCACGAAGAAAAGACACGTGGAAGTAATACGTCAGACGAATGATCACGGGAGGTAAGAGCTGGATGATGTCTGATGCATCTGACTGTACCGAGATCACCGCTAATCTTTTTTTAAAGGATTTTATTTATTATTTGATAGTGAAGCAACACAGTGAGAGAGAGAGCAAGAGAGTGAGAGCACACACAAGTGGGGGGAGGGACAGAGGGAGAAGCAGACCCACAGAGCAGGGAGCCCAACTCGGGGTTCGATCCCAGGACCCCAGCATCAGGACCTGAGCCAAAGGCAGACACTTAGCTGCCTGAGTCACCCAGGGGCCCAGCTCACTGCTAATCTTTAGCAATACGTTCCAGAGAGGGTGTGAGGACAAAATCAAGATGCTAAGAATTGAAATGGGAACGGCAGTGAATGCACATTTACTAGGAGAATACCTCGCTGTATTATGTACTGCCCAACCCAAGCAAGTAGTAATAACAGAAGCCACCTGAAGGATGCGCAGGCCATTACACTCACGCTCAGCTTTTACCCTGGACAAAACAGTAACAATGAAAATATGTCTACCTTGGATCACGGTATTTTGGTGCCTGGAAAAATTATACATACCAGGTCCTCGGTTTAGATAAGCAACAAACGTGTCAGAGGTTGCAATGATTCAATGATCATCGTTAGGAAAGCTACCCACAACTACATCAGTTTCACAAAGACAGTTTCTCAAGTCCTAAGAATCTTGAAAACCCACAAGTTACAAAAATGGTTTCCTCTTACGCTCAATTCAAATCATGTAACGCACGGTACGCTCCTTTCCTGGGACTATCAGGCACCGAGTCACGAATGTAGCCCCACCCCATAGGGGTAGCTCCGCACACATGAACTCGACAAAAGACTCTGGGTGTGTGTGGAGGCTGAGAATATTCGGGCCATTCAAGCTTACCATTGGCACAAGTACAGGCATTGTAGCTTCGGTAGCCGTCTCACGCCACTGTGACCAGGTACTGAACTCTACCTTCCCCGGCTACACAAAAACCCACAAAGCACGCCCTGATCTGAAAAGGAAGCAAGAGCTTGTGAGACCTCTTTACTGGAGATTCTCACACGGCCACGCTTTACTGAAAGACCCCACCTTACCCCTAGACCAGCCATAAAAACCCAGCTGTAACCCACCTCAGGTTCCAAGTCCCTGCTCCGCTGTGTCGGGTTGTACTTGGACCCAAGCTCGAGCTTGTTAATAAACCTCATGTACTTGCATCGGCATCGGCTCCTTGGCGGTTTTCTGGCATTCGCAATCTGGGGCACAACAGGTGCTGATCTGACAGGGTGAGAAGTGCATTTGACGTGATAACGTCTTTTATTTCCAAATTCCCATTTTAAAATCTGGACCCACACAAATCTCCTGAAATGCATTACAAAACCAAGCACGGAGACAGGAAAACTCACCTGGGATTCGTTAATTTCTGCTGCTCTTGGAAACCAAAGACTGTTAACGGTGGACCTGGGGAAGAAGAGGAAAGGATAGAAGTCGCTGGTCATCCTGCATAATACCACCAAAGAAATCTCATTCCCTGTGTGAACACTCGGAAGAGGCTAAAAATGTGAGAAAAGAGAAAGGTACAACAGAATTGGGGTCCCTCCCACGTATCACGAGGTGACCAGATGGGTTACTCTTTCTTTTCCTTTTTAAGATTTTATGTATTTGTTTATTCACAAGAGACCCAGAGAGACAGAGAGAGAGAGGCAGAGACACGGGCAGAGGGAGAAGCAGGCTCCATGCAGGGAGCCCACGTGGGACTCCACCCTGGATCTCCAGGATCACACCCTCGGCCGAAGGACCGTGAAACCACTGAGCCACCCGGGCTGCCCTCGATGGGTTATCTTCAATGGTTTTTCAAACCGTTTGCCTTCATTAAACTCACGTCGAAAAAAAACCCTCCTCTTCACGGTGCTCTCTACGTAGTTCCTGATCTCTTCAAATTACTGAAAATCACGTATGCACAGGAACAGGAAACACCAGGTCTCTAAAATAGGGTAAATGTGCACCAAGGCACACTTGTTTTCAAATGCTCTCCCTTCACTGGCTCGTCCGCTAGCTACACGAAGAACCTTTTGATCACGAAAACTAACAGGGCGGCCAGCACGCGCGCCCAGGAGCCCAGGCCGAGAGCAAGCCCACCCACGGACCCCGTCGCCCTGGACAAGCCGCCTCCCTTCTCAGGCCCAGGCTCCCCCTCTGTCAACCAGGCAGCCGCAGCCCGGCCCTCCTGGCACACCGGCCCTGCGCTCCACCGGCAGATGCCCCAGGGCACAACGCAGCCGGCTCCGCACACACTCCTGGGCGCCTAGAGACCCGTCTGGAGGCTGGACGGGGCGACGGCGCAGCCAGGGGGGGACGGGGCAAGGGGAGGCGGGAGCCCCTTGCGCCCCCGGGAAGCCGGGACCCCACGAGTCCCGCGTCCCGGGGGAGCGCCCATCCCTCCCCGCCCGCGCGCGCGCACTCTGGCCGCCCGGAAGATCCACAACCGCCAGGAGGCCCGCAAGCGCACGACCTACCCCGTCGGGACCCGCCGAGCTGCCCCGAGGCTCGCGAGGGATCCGGGGCGGGGGCTGCTCCTCCTGCGCCTCCCGGGGCCGCCGTTCCCGGGGCGCCGGCTCTGGAACTAGCGCGCAAACTCACTTCGGGCCGACCACCCTCCGGGGCCCCAAACGGCCGCCCGACGCCTCGCCGTCCTGCGGCCGCAAACCGGCCGGACCCGGGCCCCGCCGCAGCCGCCGCCGCCGCCGCCGCCGCCGCCGCCGCCACTCGACCGCCCGGCTCCTCCGGCCCAGGCCCGCGGGCTCCGGGGCTCGCGCTGGGGGGATCCCGCTCGCGCCTCCGCCCGGCCCGCGCGGACCCGCGCCCGCTGGGTGCCGGCCCGGCCGGACGGCGGACAGCCCCGCAGGTCCCGGGGAATCCTCGGCCGCCGGAGGCCGAAGCCTGGGAACCGCGGCGAGCGGGGACCTGCGCACGCACAGGAAGCGAGAGCAGCGCGGCCGCACTGCGCCTGCGCCAACACGCACACAGGCCGAGCTGCACATGCGCACCACGGCGCCGCCGGCGTGCGGCCCGGGTCCTGCGGGAGCCCCCTGGGGGAGCGGCACAAATCCCCGGACTCTGTTTCCCGGGAGTCCAAGCGCCCACACGCTAGGGGACGTCTCGAAAGTCTCCACCTCCTCGGGTGGGGAAGAGGCACCGTGCTCAGAGGATTGACCATCCGGACCTACTGCCCAATGGCCCAGTTGTCTTCGCTCCCGTGAGGAATCGAGGAGACGTGTCGCTTCCAGGAGCGGCTGTGTCTGCGTCCTGGATCCCTGGTCCTTTCCTTGCCCTGACGTCTGTCGGCTTGGCACCGAGACTTCCACAAGCAGGAGAGGACGGGGAAGGGTGCACGTGTGCACGTCACTGAACTATGACACGGTTCACGAAAACACCGGGATGTTCAGCAATGACATAAGCAATGACATAAGACAGGCGCATGGTTTCTCCAAGAGAGGAGAAGGAAATAGAAAAGGTAGCTTGTCCAAGTTGCACAACGAATGCAAAGTACAGACTGTGGAACAACCGCATTTCACACACACACAGACCCGAACCCGGATACCTGGGAATTTGCCCGTCCGACGAATTAAATGTATGTTAGGTTAAAATGCCATGTTTTGACGAGGAGGTCCTAAGGACAAGGATGTGGCAGTATTTGGGGGGAGAGATTATATAACGGTGTTCCTGGCCGATTGCTTCTTCAACGCCGCGGGGTGGTGGAGATTAAAAGTGGACTCTCCCGGTCGCCTGGGTGGCTCAGCAGTTGAGCGTCTGCCTTGGGCTCAGGCGGTGATGCCCAGGTCCAGGATGGAGTCCCGCATCGGGCTCCCTGCAGGGGGCCTGCTTCTCCCTCTGCCTGCCTCTCTGCCTCTCTCTGTGTCTCCCATGAGTAAATCAATCTTCCTTCTCCTGAGAGCAGGGGGAGGGGCAGAGGGAGAAGAGGAGAGAATCCCCAGCTGACTCCAGGCTCAGCCTGCAGCCCCACGGAGGGCTTCATTCCACAACCCTGACACCCGGACCTGAGTCCAAACCAAGAGGCAGCTGCTTACCTGGCTAAGCCACCCAGGCCCCCCATCCTACTGTTAAATAACCTTTAAACCAGACTGTGTCGCACATCCCAGGCAAACCACTAACAAGTTGGCAAGGAGAAACCCGAGACTTGCCTTTCATTGTAGCTCAGCCGATAGTGCTCATCCTAAGTGGTAAACCTGTTTCACACCTACAGGACTTGTCAGCACCATCTGCTACGCATTTTTTCATACTTCATCCTAAATTCACCTGGTAGTCGGGGTGCTGGTCCATCCTAGTTGCCGCTGTGTGAAGGAGAAAAAAAAAGTTCTTACCTTTCTCTGTCAAGCAGGTAGTTTACAGCTCATAGCAAGATGCCTAGAGACCATGCTTACCCCCTCCCGGAGACACAGAGGGACACTATCCTCCTTGAGGTTTACAGGTCAAAGAGATGGCTCCCAGGCCCCTAAGAACAACCTTCCTGGGTTGTAATGTGGGCAATACAATTGTTTAGCTTCAAAAGATATTGAGATACATATGAGATCAACAGAGGAAGTATGTATATTACACGTTTACTCAGGTAATGCTTTAATTTTTTTAAAAGATTTGATATTCATGAGACACACACACACACACACACACACACACACAGAGAGAGGGGAAGAGACGTAGGCAACTGGAGAAGCAGGCTTCCCGTAGGGGGCCTGTTGGGGTACTCCATCCCAAGACCCCAGGATCACACCTGAGCCAAAGACAGGCGCTCAACCACTGAGCCACCCAGGTGCCCCAGTAACGCTCTTATGTTTTTTCGTTGTCTTTTTTTTTTTTTTTTTTTTTTAGATTTTATGCATTTGTTCATGAGAGACACAGAGAGAGAGAGGCACAGACACAGGCAGAGGAAGAAGCAAGCCCCCGGCAGAGAGCCTGATGCAGGACTTGATTCCAGGAGCCCGGGATCACGACCTGAGCCTAAGGCTGATGCTGAACGACCCAACCACCCACGGCCCCCCTCCCGCCGCCCCCCGCCCCCCCGTAAATCTCTTCGAAAAAGTAACAGTAAGTACTCTTTTATACCAATGAACGGGCACATAACCCATTCCCGATTTCCCTTAGCCGAGCTGCTGCATCAAACTAATCGCGCACAAAGGGTGTGCTTCTCCCGAAGCTGCCGATGGCAGTGGCAGTGTAGCCAGGAGCAGTCTTGCCCAGCTCTTGCTGCTACGAAGTGTGGCTGGTGCCGGAATGCTCACCGAAGGAATGCTGCAATTGGAGCCAGGCGATCACACCTCCCCTGGGCCTGAGCCTAGAAGATCGCCAGGCACATCCCTTCCATATTCTTTTCCGTATTCAGCAGGTAAAGGACAGAAGCTGCGCCGAGCACGTCGGTGAAGACAGGCAGAACCCCAGTCCCCTGGGTCCTGGCCTTCAGCCCCGGCTCCCCGCCCCACCACCCCAGGGCACTGCCTGGCTCAGCTGAAGACCCGGACGCCCTCCCACCTCTCCACTCTGGCTCTCTGCCTGTGAACTCTGGCTGTCGTGCCCCCCCCACCCCCCGAACATCCCACTGCGTTCCTGCAACTGACACACGCTGGGCTGCCCCACCACCTCAGCCCCCTACCTCGGCCTGAATACTCTCTGGGCACTGAACTGGACACTCTTAAGGCTCACCCTTCACTCCAGATACATGAAAATATGAAATGACAGATTTTAGCTATCTCCTCCTTCTAGAAACTTCTTTAACCTGGGAGGGCAAATCTTCACCTCGTGTGTCCGTCTGGGCCAGAAGCAGCGGACCTGCATCTTTTCATATCGTTTAAGATCTCTTCATTCATTAGTGTTTAAAATAAAAAGTTTTCTCTTTTTGTATTTGGAAAAAACACAAATATTTCTCCCAATTTATCATCGAGCTTTATTCATTCATTCATTCATTCATTCATGAGAGACGCACACAGAGAGGCAGAGACACAGGTGGAGGGAGAAGCCGGCTCCCCAAGGGGAGCCCGACGGGGGCCAATCTGGATCTCGGGACCCCAGGACCATGCCCTGGCCAGAAGGCAGCGACCAAACTGCAAAGCCACCCAGGCGACCCAAGTCATTGATCTTTGTAACCTAATGTTTTACTTTATTTTCTGTCATATGGATATTGTTTCTGTGTTCAAATCGTTCACTTCCTCTTCATACTTTTCATCTGCTTAGACACTGTCTTTGAAGAAGCCTTTCCCACCCTTAATTTCCTAAGTAGTCGCCTCGGTTTGCTCCCGTTTATTTTTCTCTCTTTAATGCATCAGTTTTATTAAGCTAACTGGCACCCATCTTCAAGATTTGTAAATCATTCTTCTCTTGAAGTCTTTCCACCTTGTTTTCCAAAATGAACACAGTCACCTTGACCAGGAAATGCCAGAGGCATTCAAGGTTCTAATCTGTGTGAAAGAACCGGTTCTTCTTTGAAGCCTCTGGACATGGACGCGTCTTGCCTTAGGGAAAGGGGCAGCAGAAGGATCAGGAAAGTGACTGTCAAATCTGAATTCCCTCTTCTTCAAAAATACTGGTTGGATCTGCCTACAGGGAAGCTGTAACAAAGTAAGACAAACCAGGCAGCTTTCAGGCGTTCACGACAAAAATGCATGGTCTCACTGTTCTGGAGGCTGGGAGTCTGAGATTCAGGTGTGGGCACGACAAAAATACATTCTCTCACTGTTCTGGAGGCTGGGAGTCTGAGATTCAGGTGTGGGCAGGGCTGGTTCCTTCTGAGTGCTGTGGGGGAGGGGCTCTTGCATCCTCCCTCCCTGGCTGGTAGATGTCAGTCTTCTCTCCCTGTGTCATCACACTCTCTTCTCTCTACTTGGATGTTTGTGTCCAGATTTTCCCTTTAAAAAAAAAAAAGTTATGCATTCATTTTACGGAGAGAGCACAAGCAAGCCACGGGAGGGGAAAGGGGGGGTGAGAGAGAGCGAGAGAGAGAGAGAGAGAAGAGAGAGAGAGAGAGAGAGAGAGAGAGAGAGAGAGAGAGAAGCAGACTCCCCTCTCTGGTGTGGAACAGACCTCTCTGGGGCTTGATGTGGGGCTCAATCTAACAACCGTGAGAGCAGGGGCTGGACCAAAATCGAGTTGGATGCTCAACCAACTGCGCCCCCAAGGCGCCCCCCCCCCTAATTTTCCCTTCATAAAGGACAGCATTCTACAGACCCCACTTTACCTTGATTTCTTCCATAAGGATCCCACCACTAAATACAATCACATTCTGAGGTACCAGGGGGTGGTACACATGAATGGGGTGGTAGGGGTGCGAGGGGGCACACAATTCAACCCTAGCATTTGTATACCTGGTCATGTCAAATTGGCTTTCTCACTGCCTTGGTTATGCTGTAAGGGAAGAGCCCCCTTACAGATTATCTTATCGAAGTATTTTAGTTTATAGGTGAAGAAATGGGGGCCTGGAAGAAGGGAGGGTTTGCCTAGGGGCACAGGCTGCTTTGTAACAAAACCATTTCGTTCCCACCTCCCCACCACCCCCATCGTTTAGACAGGTATTCTATCTCCTGCTTTATGTCCTCCAGATTGTCTATCCTCAGAAGTCTGGGCAGACAGAGAAGGGGACACAGTGAATAGGTTACAGGATTTGAATCAAAACAGCTGAAGTGAATCCTGGGGTCCGCTTCGGTCTTTAGGGCTTCACAATCCTTGTTTCTAAAAAACAAATCCTAGGACCCTGCTCTCTCAACGCAGCAAAGAAAAGGAAGAGACATTCCTCCTGCAAATGTCTTATGAAGGATAGATCTTTGATTCAAAACAAGATTTGCAAACAAACATGGGCAAATTGGTATGGAGACACCATTTCAGAACGTTTCAAAGAGGCGATAACCACAGACGATACAGCTTAACCTGACTTTGGGACCCACCAAGTATATGTCAGCCAGGGTGCAGGGCAGTATAAAAGTCAAAGACTAAGATTTACCTTTAATACTGAGCTTCAGACACCAGATCTTCGAAGTCGGTATCCAGAACCTCTTCCCGTCTCCCCATCCCAGAATTCTGTTCTGTGAGTTAGCACTGCAAGCCGTCTTCCTAGGGCGTCTCGAGGTCTTAAGGGTCACAGAAGGGAAACACAGAAACCATTACTCACTAGAGAATGACAGGCCAGGGTGAGCAGCCCCTGGCTAGCTGTGACTTAGTGGAGAGGGCAGGTGTTGTTGTTGTGTGATTTTTTTTTTTTTTTTGAGATTTCATTCATTTATTTGAATGAGAGGGAGAGTGGCAGAGAGAACACAAGCAGCGGGGAGAGAGGAAGGCAGGCGCCCCATGAGCAGGGAGCCTGATATGGGGGTTCAATGGGTGCAGACTTCCAGTTTGAGGGAAGATGACAAAGTTCTAGAGACGGAAGTTGCTGATGGCAGCACAGCAACGCAAATGTGCTTAAGGCCACTTAATTATACGCTCACCAATGATTAAAATGCTGCATTTTATGTTGTGTTGTGTTATCACCAAAAGAAGGAAGGAGCAAGTAAGACTCAGATGCCCAGGTGAAAAGCAGAGGAAGGAGGTACGAGGTGTGGAAGAAGCTTCCCCTGATACTACAGGACAGCCAGTCAGTTATTTTGTGACTGCATCTGTGCTCCTGGGGGCTTCCCACCTTCTCAATAAAACAGATTCTGCCTCCAATTGGAGGTTTTTCCACTCAGCCTTTGTGGGCACGTCACAACATTTTATTCATACGATACACAAGGAGTAGTGAAATTCCTAGGTCAAGGGTAATACACATGCTCAAAATTTTACATGCAAGCTAGAGCTGATTAACTGCAATCAAGGGGCAGGTTCTGGGTGATCCATGGACTTCTGAAATCGGGGACAGCATCTGATGTGTGTGGGAGCACACGTACAATTTTCTAGGAGCAGGCTCCCAAAATACCTCCCGGGCTCAGGGACACCGGAGAGTAGAGCATGAATGCTCCCCCAGCACAGAATCCCCAACACAGCATCAGTAAAACAAGTGAGAGAGCTCTGCCAAATTAAGCGACGTAACCTAACTTTTCAATCCAACAAGTCCATGTACCTGGACGTTCCCTACATACTTATTTCACTCTTGTAAGATCTTACCTTCCCTCGTCTGTTTCCTCCCTCTCCTGCCAGACTGCACCCTGAAACAGGAATAGAAGGATGCAGAGAGCCCCGCATCTGCTGGAGAGGAGTAGAGTGATCCAGACACCCCGAGGACCGTTTTGGAGGATGGCTGCAGGCCGGATCGGCGACTTGAGATAGCCTTGATCCTGAACTCCAGAAGTGGACCTCGGTCTCGCAGTTGCACGTGTCTTCCTTCAAAATGGCTGCCAGGCTGGAATGGTGCATGACATCAGAGGCTTCTGACCTTCCTGATTGGAAAGACTGGACTCCGTGGTTCTTGGCAACGGAGGTGGACAAGAGCATCTTCGCAGAGCATGTCCATACTCCTAGCTTGGCCCCAGCTTAGAGAAGGGATAACAGGGCTTGGGTTCACCCAGAAGCCAGAAGGGGAGTTTGAGAAGAGGAGGGTCTGAGTCTCCTGGGAGGGCGCAAAGAGCTTGGGAGAAATCATGGCCAGTTGTCAACCGTCCGCCCAGTCTGAGGGCCAGAGCCCCCAGCCTAGCACATCAGGGTACCCCCCGGAGGCCGTGGTAGATGAAGAAAGCCCAGGACCATCAGGTGAGGAGGCAGGAGGGAGAAGCAGGAGGGAGAAGCCTTGACAGGCTTGACTAGTGAGTACAAATGGGTACAGAAGCCAGGAAGGTGTGTCTGACTAGACTGCACGTGACAGGAGAGATTCAGAAAGCCAGGGATTGGAGAAGAGAGCACGGGAGCCGGGGACAAGGGTATCCCACTGGCAGGAAAACCCAGGAAGCAAGGAAGGAGGGTTAGGTGATGAGATCCAAAGATGAGAGAAAGGAAGAGAGGACATTATCCCATTATCCTCATGGGAGAAATGATCTACGAGGAAGAGTTTTGAGGGCGTGGTGGGAGGTATGAAACAGTGGCAAAGATGAATGGGGGCAAATGCATATGAATGAAGGACAAAGATGAAAGGTGGTTTTGGAGAGGCCAATCATCTATGAGGCTACAGAGAATGAAGAGGGAGTTTGGGTTTGCGGGTGTGGAAAGCGTGGCTGAATTCCAAAGACAGAAGAAGCTTCGTACTGTAGCCTGGTTTCTTCACTCAGCCCCCTTTGTAGACCCCTGCCCCTTGCCTCAGTCCCGCGGAAGGAAGAGAGACATCGAATCCGACGAGGAGACAGCCCCTGAGGCCAACGACATCTGGGTGGTGGAGACACTGAGGGGACTCAAGATGAAGCTGAAGAGACAGCGGGTATCTTCAGTGCTCCCTGAGCACCACGAGGCGTTCAACAGGCTGCTCGGTAGGAACAGCACCCTCCAACCTTATTCGTTTTTCCTGAAAACACAAGAAACTTCCAATGGCTACGCTTTTCCAATGGAAAATAATTCTTTGCAGGTCGCTGAGCTCTCTCTCTCCATCCTTGGAGGACTCCATACTGACCCCTCATCGGGGACACTTAGAAATGACAGAGGGATGAGAAAGCTTAGGTGCGGTCGCACTCCTGAGACATCTTAGCGCTTACTGGCCTTTTGAGTCTGAGTGCCTTCCGCTGTGTCGGGGCGGGGGCGGGGCCGGGGGCGGGGGCGGGGAGGGGAGGACAGGCCATCTTTGTACCCCGATGCCACTGTGGAATGAGAAAATGACAGCGGATGATGTTATGGTCTCTGCAGTGGCACATCCATGCATGATGAGACAGCATCACTATTTACTTCAGATCCCATCCTGCAGATGCACTGCTGACACCTGCCTGCCTCTGGGTCACCCGACACGGGGGAGCCGCCAACTTTTCTTGGCCAGTCCATGGTCTTTTCTCCCCTCTGCCCATCAGCCTCACCCTTGGCTACATCCTGAAACTTCCCCAGGGGAGGTACTGTTCTCTTTGCTCTGGAACAAAGAGAGGGTTCCCACAGTAACCCCATTCCAGTTGCCAACATGACATCTGCCCTCTTTTCACAGAGGATCCTGTCATCAAAAGATTTCTGGCCTGGGACAAAGATCTGAGAGTATCCGACAAGGTATTGTTGTTCTCCACTAAGATAGACTCTTGCTCCAACACCTGTCCTGGGGCAGGGGAATGCCTCCTCAACCCTCTCTCCAACCTCATGCCTACCAAGACTTCTGGTCGGGGACCTCGTGGCTTTTGCAGATCCCCTGGGACCTGAGCACCAGCTGTGCCCCTCTGGCTGTTGCTACCTTAAGTCCCTTTGCCTCTCTGCTCCTGGGGGGCTTCCTTTGGCTCCAGCTTATCAAAGACCCCCCTCAAGCTGGCTGTCCTAAACACAAGCCCTCAAACCAGCACAACTAGCCATCCTGGGAGCACCACAAACTCTTCCCTTGCTTTCCCCAGTTTGTAACCAACTGTCTGACACCAAAGAAGCAGGTTCACCCAACATGTCAAAGAGGCACCACCTGCTCCAGCCTCCTGTCCCCTCACCTCACTGGTCTTCCTCTCCCAGGATGGGACCCTTCTATGACGGCTTTTCTCCTCTTTCCGCCAGTATCTCTTGTCCATGGTCATCGCCTATTTTAGCCGCGCTGGTCTCTTCTCCTGGCAGTACCAGCGAATTCATTTCTTCGTGGCACTGTGAGTATTTCGCCTCATCCATCAGCAGTAGTCAATAACCTGGGAGGAAGGAGGGTAGAAGTGGGACTCTGATCTTTCGGCTCTTTTTCTCAACCTGTTTCTAACTCTTTAAATCTTGCGGGTTTTATTTACTTACTTTTTTTTTTTTTTTGAGCTGTTTACTCTGTGTATAAAAACAGTAGGATTATAGTGGTTTTTTATGCTATTCTTTGTAAACACAAATGCCCCTAACATCAGCTAAGAGACCCCCTGAAGAGAAGGAAACAAAAACTCTCCAAAGAGGAGGGAAGGAAAGAACAGAGGCTGCCTCGCCCCAAGCAACTAGGCTCAAGCAGCAGCCAGTTCTGATCCTTGAGATCTGTCTTCTTCCCGTGGCAATACCAAGCATAACTGTCTTCCTCCTCTGCACTCCCAGCACAAATGCCTCAATTCAGCCTCAAGACATAGCACAGATCTGTCGTAAAGGCTCCCGCTGGTGTTTCTTACAAATCCGTCCCAAGCCAGTGGGTGCTATATGCCTGAAGTCTTTCCAAAGCATCGTCTCCTGCTCTACGCTCCATAACAATCTCATGGGCTAGGGGTGCTAGTGGTCAAGGTCAGAGTTTCCAGCTTAGCTCCAACCCCCTCATCTCCATCCAACTTGTTCACCCTCTTCGTGTTTCATCCTTCCAAGTACCCTTCCCTCCGTTTCTATACTGTGTTTCCCGTCTAGGTGATTTTGCACGTCTCCCTGAAGAAAACGACCTTTCCTCGAGATTGATTCCAACCGCAAAATCTTCAGATGGCCCCCTAACCTCCCTGACTTCTGCACCCTAGTAGCACTTCTGTTAAAATTCTAGTCTCATGGGTATTTTGGACTAACGTTATTTCTCATTCACTACCCCCTTCTGCCCCTTTCCCCCTTCCCCAATCCCGTTACACTAGACACCTGTTGAGGCAGGTCTTGTCAAAATATTACCATGCTCTCAAAAACACTCAGCACAATTCCTTACATTTTGCAAATGTTTAAGTTAGGTCGGGTCTACGAGGTAATCAGTATTGCCCCTGACCGTGAGAGAAAGCATTCACTTATTCATTCAACAAACACGTATAAAGTACATCTGATGTGCCAGGGACCATGAGGCGATGGGAAGAGAGAAACAAGAAGTGCATGTTGAATTACTGCACCTACATGAACCCAGTCCTATATTAGTCATTTGGGAGGAAAGCCAGGACTACAGAAATAGAGCAGGAGCTGTACACATGCCCCTGCTCCACAGGGCGACAGGTGTGTGCACAGACAGGCTGAAGGGAAGGGGGTGGGCTCAGGGATGGGAAAACAGAGCAGCATATGCCCTCAAGCTTCTGGGTGAGTTGTCTTTCTCCTCAAAGCGGGAGAAGTCTCTGCCCAGCCGTGCCTTCCTGATGACTGGGGGGCGCTCGACGACGCTGGGTAGGAAGCCGACTACATCTTTTCTGGGAAGCTGAGCTCAGGTGGGGGGGGTCCTTCCTGTCCTGCTCCTGACCAGCAACCTCATGTCTTTCTCCAGCTACCTGGCCAATGATATGGAAGAGGATAACCAGGCCCCCAAACAAGCCATCTTTTCATTCCTTTATGGGAAGAACCGTTCCCAGCGTCCCTTGTTCCACAAACTGCGATTGCAATTCATCCGATCCATGGGCTGGAAGACCAGGGTGTCCAGGGAAGAGTGCGAGGAGGTGGGTGGGCTGTGGGGATTAGGGGTGGGTGAATGGGGGGGGGGGGACATGTTAGGACATGGGATTCAGGATGAGAAAGAATTAGAGCCTGGAGAGTGGGAGGGAGGGGGAATCCACCTGGAGGTTGTCTTCTCAGGGATCTGTTTGTCTTCCAGATCCAGGCTTTCGATCCAGATCTGTGGGTGTGGGGGCGAGATCGCACCCTCATACCCTAGAGGGACCACGGAGGCCCGAGGTCATCGGCCTGAGGGGAGGTATGTCACGGGTCCAGGCACCATGACTTATTGTGTATTGAGGAAATCTGAGGAATCCAATTGCTAGACCACGCTCCTCTCCCCTGCCCCACACATGAGCCTTCCCACACACTGTAAAGTCGAGCAGCCACGCAGCCAGACGCGGACTCAGGTCCCAGCCACATGCTCACAACCACACACAGGCATGACCTCAGGGAGATGTGTGGGGGCCAGACTAGGGAAAACCGGTCTGTCACAGAGGCATGGCTGAAAGAATGCCATTCACGGCAATGGGGCCCCAAGGATAGCTTTCATGAAATGTTGATTTTCTGTGGAAAGTGAGGAAGTTTTCAATTGATTCCATAAATTGTGTATTCACTTTCTTTCTTTCTTTTTTAAGATTTTATTATCCAGGGCAGCCGCGGTGGCACAGCGGGCCAGCCGCGGTGGCGCAGCGCTTTAGTGTCGCCTGCATCCCGGGGTGTGCTCCTGAAGACCCGGGATCGAGTCCCGCGTCGGGCTCCCTGCGTGGAGCCTGCTTCTCCCTCTGCCTGGGTCTCTGCCTCTCTCTCTCTGTGCCTCTCATGAATAAATAAGTAAAAATCTTAGAGAAACAATTTATCTATTCATGAGAGACACAGACACACACACACACACAGAGAGAGAGACAGAGAGAGAGAGACAGAGAGAGAGAGAGAGAGAGAGAGAGAGAGGCAGAGACACAGGCACAGGGAGAAGCAGGCTCCACGCACGGAGCCTGATGTGGGACTCGACCCCGGGACTCCAGGGTCATGCCCTGGGCCGAAGGCAGGCGCCAAACCGCTGAGCCACCCGGGGATCCCCAGACTTTCTAATTCATTTTTGGCCTTTCATCCCTCACAGGTATCAACCACAGGGACTTGTTTACAACAACGTATACGTCTAACAGTAGGATATTTGATGGAAGAGTCTACCTATCTAGTGATACAAGAGAAATTATGTCTAGTTATGCTTTCATCCAAATTTCCTTTCAAGCACATTGCTTATGGCCAGATTGCCTGTGCATCTTTCATGTCCCCTGCCTGCTTCCGGACCAGTGTCCCATTTTGTTCAATTATACCTTTCCCCTCAGGTTTTTGGTCAAGGACGTTTGTCAGAACAAGTGAAGCTTAAGAAATAACAGTTTCAGCATGGCTTATTGTGATCGACACATAAACTTATAGATTTGGGTAGAGGATTAAGTGAAGATTGGGTTCAACTCATGTGAACTATAGCTCTGTTAGTCCATTTAGGCTCCTACATCAGAGGACTACAGAGTGGATGGATGGCTTAAGAACAACAGACATTTATTTCTCACAGACTTGGAGGGGACAAGTCTGAGATCGGAGTGTCAGAACCTTTACTGGGTTGGTCAGAACCTTTACTGGGTTGCAGATTGCCACCTTCTGGCTGTGTCCTCACATGGTGGAAGGGGAGAGCTAGGTCACTGGGGTCTCTTTTATCAGAGCACCAATCCCATTCAAGAGGGCCCCACCCATGCCCTAATCATCCCAGTGGCCCCATCTAGCACCATCACCTTGTGGGTTAGGATCTCAATGTATGAATTTGGGGTGTGCGTGTGGGATACAAACATTCAGACCACATAGCACTGACCAACTTTAGGACTAGGTGTTATGGTTAAACATCCGGATCTAGGGTTAGAATGGGGGATTAGGCATCTGGACTCATGGTTCATGATGTTGATGTGTGAGTGATGTTTGCGGTATGGTGATTAGTTCAGACTCTAAGTAGCACAAAAGGACCAAGGCGAGTGTCCAGTCTAAAGCAACATTCTCTCAAGGTTGTTTGTTTTGGTCCCTGAACAGAATCACCTAGAGCGAGCCCTGGCTATAAAGTAGATGACTGGGCCTGTTCTTAGGTACATGAAGAAGTTTTTGGAGCCAGGATCACCAAAGTCCAAAAGTCAAGCTTGGAAATGAACTGGGGTTTAGAACGAATGATGAGGGATAAAGTGGATTTATAAATTCGTCTCAACTCTGATTACAATGGACTGAGAAGGTGAATAATCTCTGTATCTGGAGAGGTGCCTCCTTGCAATCTGATGTCCTTCCCCTCTTTCTCAATTGCAGATCCCTGAGCCCCGGGGAGACGCAGGTTTTTCAGTCGGAAGTCAGGAACACAGGAGTCTCTTTCACAGATAATCTAGAAGAACCCAGGACCTTCCAGAACGAGCTCAGTGGAGTCATCATGTTGTACTCCTAGGAGCTGGGAGTCCATGGATTGGAGTCCACGGAGAGACAATAAGAAACCAGGGTTTTTTTTCACGTCCATCCCCTCCTGGGATACCATCAAATATTGCACATTACTTAATTTGAATCTCTGCTGAGGTAGAGGTCGGAGGTCCCATTTTTCATGCACTGGGACACAGGGGAGGAGGAAATTACCTCAAAAATATAAAATTAGAACCCGAAGGATTGTGACAGCCAAACATATGTCATGAATTTCATTTGTTCATTTTGAAAATGTTGCCCTTAGATTATATTTGTTTCTCTAGTTTTTATTTATGTATTTATTTTAAATAGTTCTGAAATAGTCATAGTTTCCAAGACATGCTATTCCAACGTAGTTTTGTGATGAGATTTCAGCTGCTGCATAACTATAACTTTGTTTACATATTCAGGATAGGTTTTGTTTTTATTATACTTATATAATACATCAGTTATACTTATAACCAGACGGGTTAGTTCCCTCATGTTCTTGTAACTGTAAATATTTATTTGATAGTCTTCGTTATTAAACTGTGAGAACCAGGTGTCATTTTTTAACTTGCCTTGATGACATGTTGGTATGTTACTTTAGGTTATTAAAGAGGACACTGCAAGGTGTCTCCTGGGGAAACATAATAAAGAGATGTCTTCTTACCTTCATGATGTTTGTGGTCATCACCATCAGTCTCATCTGTTCACTGTTCAATGATACTGTCGCTTAATGGGGATGTGATTATTTAGCCACGTTTTTCTTTGTCTTTTCTTTTCCTTTAATATTTACAACTGTGTGCCAAGAATTTATCTTAGATTAAGGTGGATAGTGCTGATTTCCCTTCAAGAGGACATGGCCTCCATATTCTTCTTCTTTTACAAAACAAACACTTCAATATATTAACATATGATGGATTATTGGTTACAAAGGTAGAGGTCAGTGATTTATCAGCCTCATGTAACACCCAGTCCCTCCTTAATGTCCCTCCTGAATGTCCGTCACACAGTCATCCTATTCCCCCACTCCCCTCTCCTCCAGCGACCCTCCATTTGTTGCCTATGATTAAGAGTCACTTATGGTTTGTGTCTCTCTCTGATATCGTCTTGTTGTATTTTTTCCTCTCTTCCCCTATGCTCCTCTTCTTTGTTTCCTAAATTCCATGTATAAGTGAAATCATAAGATAATTGTCTTTCGATGACTTATTTCGCTTAGCGGAATAGCCTCTAGTTCCATTCATGTTGCTGGAAATGGCAAGACTTCACGTTCTGATGGATGAGTAATATTCCATTATACATACACACACACACACACACACACACACACACACACACACTACGTCCTCTTTATCCATTCATCTGTTGATAGACATCTGGGCTCTTTCCATAGTTTGGCTCCTGTGGACATTGCTGCTATGAACATTGGGGTGCAGATGCCCCTCTGGATCACTACACTTGTGTCTTTGGAGTAAATACCCAGTAGTGCAAATGCCGGGTCATACGGTAGGTCTATTTGGAACTTTTTGAGGAACCTCCAGAGTAGCTACACTAGCTTACATTACCACCAACAGTGTACAAGGGTCCCCCTTTCTCCACATCCTTGCCAACGTCTATCATTTCCTGACTTGTCAATTTTAGCCACTCTGACTTGTGTGAGGTGGTATCTCACTGTGGTTTTGATTTC